CACTTTGAGTGTGCCATCGCCTTTGTTGTTGTTTGTCCAATTGGAGTACCCACCCACGGGGATGTATGTATGTTCTTTTTTCTTTGCCCATAAGTGAAGTGGAGGAAAGGACAATCCCATACCATGGCAGTGGTTGTCCTTCAGGCGACAAGTAATTTTACTTGGCAAAATAAATTGCACAAAGTCCTTTTTTTTGCGATTTGTCATGTTATCTCTTTTTGATGTCTGCTTTTGCTTTGTGGCTGTCGTGTGAGCTAAAGGATGTAATAGTGGGATATTTCCTTTGTTCTGATTGGCCAGCATTTAATTTTTATTTCTTGGCATTTATTTGAAAGTGTATGGCGGAAAATGGCAGGGGTTGCCAGTTGCATTTATAAAAATTTTCCAATTTTCCTTAATCTTCTTAGCATAGTTTGTTGACGTTTTCGATTATTCATTTCCTGACATTAAATCGAATAATGTTTTTCGCACAATTATTATTTTTTCTGAAAGTAAGGCTTTGCATTTCAAATGAGTTGAAGGGACTGGCAACTGAAATGGGAGAATACTTCTAGAGAACAAAGCACTGAGCTTATTTTCCAAGCCATCAACTGGTCTCCAAGCTGCGTGCAACGACTGACAAAAAAAATAAACTTGCTACCACTTCATATGCGCTCTTTGGTAGCCTTGAACAGGGGAGGAGGTGGTGCGAAGGGCCCAAACAGCAAAACATGGAGGGATGAGGTCGTCGTCACACACATTTGGTATGCATAAGCAGCAGTCGCATACCTTGCCGCACATTATCTGGCAAGGAGACATTTTTCCATATTTTACACAACAAAAGCCAAGCCAGACGCAACTTTTACCTCAACTTGCTTTGACATTTTCTTGTTGCCCCGTCCCTTCGGCCCCAGAACATTCCTCCCTTTTCCTACAACAACAACCACCGACCGCAATTTCAAATTTAATTCGCCATTTTCCAGAGGCAGGCAAGTAACCACCCACCCAATAACAAACCACCCACCCAAAGGCCGAAACGCCCAACCGCCCAGCCGCCCAACCACCCGACCGCCCACTCAACGCCATCTTGTGGCTTTCCTTGCCACTGTCTGCCGCATTTGTTGCCAGTTTCCTTTTGGCTTTTTATTACGTATACGGAAAATGTGGAATTCCTGAAGACATTTTACTTTGCAATTTCCTTACGAGTCGTTAAACATTTCCAGGCTGTGCCAGAGCCAGAGCCAGAGCCGTAGTCAGAGCCAGAACCAGAGCTAAAGTCACAGCCACAATACCACAACAACGGCCAAAGTTAACAAAACTAATTTAAAAATTCAAATTTTCTTTCCGTTTTTTATATGCATCACAAACTGTGCATTTATATGGTCGGGTAAGTGGGTATACACTCGTTTATATACAAATTTATACAGTACCTGTGCCCGTGTGTGTGTTGGCCATGTTGTCTGGTACTTTGTGGCCTGGTAATTTGTATTCCTGTGGCTTTATTGTTGATCTTCTTGTTACATTTGAGTTTTTCTCTTTCTTATTTTTTTGTTATGTTCAATATCCGAAGAATGTTTGTGTGCCATTTCGAGTTTGAGTTATGGAAATGGATTTATTTTTGACAATATATGTAACAACTTTCAATTGAATTATCACCCCTGCAGAGGGCCCTGCCCCAATTTTTAATGGAACTCGCTAATGGAAAATCGTGCTCGGCAAGCTTAATTATGCAAGCGATTGGCAAGTATCTAAGCCAAAAACACGTGATCACCATTGGAATAATGCAAATTTCAGCTCATTAATATCAATCAAATGATTGATAGCACCACCAGCCACCACCACCACCGACCCAACTAGTCGAGTCAACTGCCGCACCCTCCAGTCTATCCGGCCCATCCTCTCACAGCTATTAATAAATCCTTTGACAATTGTTACATTAATGTCAATAAGCTGCACGCACAGCAATTTCGAGCATTTACATTTGTATCTCATTTGGCGGAACCCCTTTCCTGACACAATATTTGTCCGTCTCGTGCCACTTCCTGATAGCTATCCTTGATAGCCAGTTTCCGGGTTTGCTGGTGACTTTTGTATCCTTTTCAGACAGCAATCTGTCAAAGTTTTCGCTTCTATTTGGGTGTCTCATCAATCAATTTCATTTATCCACTTGTCATTTAAGCATTTTATTTGGCTCTCAAAATGCGGTTAGCTAATTTTCGCATCGAACTTTTTGGTGCGTTTTGCAAACACTGATTTAAATTAGGTTTGATTCGCACCTTATTGGCTTAATTGTAATGTGTTTATTAACCAGGCGTAATACATTTGTAGATGTAATTTGAACATTATGTCGACAGCATCGGGCGGCAGTAGTTTGGCCCGTTGCCCCCCGAACGCTATCATAAATTTGCAACAAATTAAAGAGCAATTAACCCATCAGACGGGCTAACGAGCCGCTGACCGCACACGCACATGCTATTGCAATTATCAAATTATAGAGGGGCGGGGCTGAAGAGGCGGTGAGGACAGACAATTCGAGAAACAAATAATAAATATGACGGGTAAATGCAAAACACACACCAAATACAAACCCACGGCCACTCCAACATGCATAATTATAATGCAATATAATTAAGTTGTTGTTGACCCGACCGAAGTTGACCCGCTGCAGCGTTTAAAGCCATCTCAAGTGTATCTGAAAACTGACAACTGACAGCCGCGTAGGCCATTTAATTAATATGTTTGCACTGCAAGATGCACCGGAGCTCTCAACTCAAAATTATGGCCAGGCACACGGGTGTGTCCTTAATTTCAGAGCGCTCGAAACTCAAAATGCATTTAATTTTCCACTGATATGGATCCTCCCCGAGTTCTAATTCTCGTTGTGGCTTATTTAACACACCCCAGAGTCCCTGGCCAGGTTAACTGGTTCAGAGTTTTCAAAAGGCACGCGCCACTGAAAATTTTAGACATACTTCTGCAGTTTTTCCGAACGTTTTTATAGTCTCTTCAAATTGCTCTAATTCGTTAAGTTATAAAACCGGCCGCCAAGTTTTCAAAGCCATTTACTTTTATTGCCCAGCAACGGTCAATGAACCAACACAGTGCCATACACGGGCCAGGACTAAAAAAGGACGACACATGCGTGCTAATCTCTAATTTGCTAGACGATCATTGCCGTCGAATTTTGGGTAGAATGCCATACATATTCAGCATTGGAGAGCGGGTCAGCGTCAGCGGGACGCAGCAGGAGTTGATAGGAGCTTGTTCCATTCGTATCCTTTTAATTGCCAAAAGCCGCCGTGTTTCGAATTTCGGTATCTAAAGTTGATTTTCCCATTTTAATGGCGCTATTTTCATTAGGCAAATGTATGTTCGCCCTTCTCCGTTCATTTTATTTCCCGAATTTTTTGACTTTTCCGTTTTTTTTCAGGTAAATGTGTGCCGCTCATTAGCATATAAAATGTGGTATGGGTCGCTAGAAAGTGTCCTTCGGTCGGATGACACTGTGTTGCTATAGACAATCCACGTTTATTGCATATTCATCATTTTAATTGCTTGTTTTCATATTAAATGACTCGATAAGGCTTTTAGGGTTATTAGGCGGCGATGTCCTGAGACCGCGACCAGGCTCTTTCGGCCAGGTGATACATATCCTTGGTGGGCAAATGAAATGGAATCTTGCGCAAGAAACGAGAACAAAAAAAACCAATTCACGTAGAAAAGTGCAAAGTGCAGAGATTCTGGGGAAAGATGAGCAAGGACTGGGCGCCCGATATGATTACTTTTTCTTTTGTTTCCCATTTCGAAACTGGGGAAATCAAGGAAGCATGGCGGAAAGAACAAAGAAATTACTTTGCCAACGAGTGAACGGATATGAATAAAAAAGTGATCAATGCAATGAAAATGATTGTCTGCTCATCGTAGCGCTTCCTTCACAATTGAGCGCACAAAGTACTACGCCAGACGGTGCGAAAAAAAGATGAAAGCTACAAAGATAGCAACACTTTAATGAAAAGTAAAAAGAAACAATTTCAAAAACAATGAATCCTTGACTGATGAATCTGGTTGGATCAAAGAATATCCTGAAAAGTTCTTTCAGTGGGCTATAATAATCATTGAACATCTGGTACATGGTAGCATATAGAAAACTAATTACTAAAACATAGAAGTTTTCAATCAAGTCCACAATTTTTATTAACGATCGAAAGTTCAACAATAAAAACAAAACAAAATTTTGAAGCAATAAATCCTTGCTAGGACATCCAAACAGATCATTGCAAGTCCAGGCCTAAAAGTAAGAAAGTTTTACTATACTATATCAATAAAAAAACGTTTTAACCTCACCTGAAGTCTAGTTCGGTTAATCCACATTTGAGCAGGAGCGACAGGGGCAACCACACCGACATGGCTTGCAACCACAGCCGCCGGTCTTTACAGGAGGAGCGCCACAGGAGGAGCCTTCAGACTTGCCGCATTTGCACGGAACCTCCTCCGGCTCGTTTATGGTACAACTCTGGACGAGACACAGGGCCACAGCCATCAGGACAAACAATTTGGCATTAAACATTGTATACGACCAGTGATTGCACTCGAAACTGCTGCTCTTCCAATTAATTCCCAGTTTTTATAGTCAAACAGAGGGTACATTTTTATTTAATCAGATGATTTTTTTGACTACATTTTATTTGCATTTTAAAGATATATTTATTGGTAAACAATTTGTATACAACCCATATGGACATAATGTATTTATAGGCTTTTCGAGGTTAATGAGTTTTTAGCTGTGTAAATAGTCCATACATAACAATAAATGAAAAAGTCCCATTTAAGAGTTAAGTTCAGGAATTTTTTGAATGTTTGATGAATAATATTATCATAAACATGTTTTTTTGCTGTTGAGGAATCGATAAATATTTGTTTTTCTTTTAATTTAAATACACATTTTGGTTAATCAATTTAAGAACGATTTTATTTATTTAAACAGCTCAGTCACCAAATAACAAATGTCAACACAAATCCTTTTAGACCGGCCAAATATAAGAATAACTCAAAAATGCTAGAAAGAGTAAATATGTATAGTTAGAGAATAAACCAAACCTATTTAAATATTTCTTACGTTTTCGATTTTCTGCCGAGAATTTAAGAAGATGATTTAGACTGTAAAAGCGTTTCGTTTCAATGGATCCTTTTTTACCATTGCATCCACAAGGAGCTGGAACAGGAAATAAGGCCACCACAGGAAATCCTATCGGACACTTTTCGGGAATAAAATTTATGCAAAGGTCCTCCGAGACAGGTACAAGAGCTAACGAGTTTGTTGCTTAAATTATTTCAGTTTCAATAATTTAAATTACTTACGTTTTTGACCGCCTTCAACGCGTTTGTCATTTTCTATATCCATAAGAAATTCGTTTTGAAAAGGTCGACAAAGGCAATCCTGGAGAGTCCACTGATAGTTCCTGTACCAGATATTGCAGCTTGGTTCAGGATCAGGCTTGGACTCGGGTTCTGGTAGGGACTTGGCTTCAGGTTCCGATTCAGGCTCAGCCTGGGGCTCCTCTGCGGAACACCAATCGCCTACTCTCCAAACAGCCAAAACCAAAAGCAGCAATCTCAAATTGGGCATTGTAGTATCAGCATTAATAGTCTGACACCAAGTCTTTAATTTTACAATTAATTTGCCACGGCCACCAGCTTAGCTTTTTATATAAAAACTCATTTCTTTGTTTAAGCAGGGATGGATAACTCTTTTGTTTATTTAATCCCCCAAAAGGTTCAGTGTTTGCAGAACGTGCACCGCAAACTGCACGCGAATGTTTATTTATTTGACTAACCTTGACTGAAACCCAGCTCAGTTTTTCGTAAATTCCCCCAAAAATTGGCTATTAAAACACAAAACTCATAAGTTAAGTTTCAACAATAAATGACATATTTTAGGCAAAAAATTTTAACAAAGTGTAATAAAAATATTCAAAAATCATTCCAAGTCAATGTTGTAGTAAAACCAAGTCGTCAATGTTGTGGTTATTCGGCCTCATTCAAACCTGGACCCAGCTGAGGTAGGCTATAATATTAAAAAAAACATAGTTAGAAGAAACCCAATGAAAATCAGATTGGTACGTACGATCAGAGTTCAAAGCTGCATATCTCCTCAGCTGACAAATGTTTTCGAAAATCTTGTATCTATAGCTTCCTGGCTTGCCGTTGCAACCGCATGGAGATGGAACGGGAAACTTAGCCTTTACTCTTGGACCACCGCAAGGACAACATTTCTCCACGAATTTTAGGCATGTCTCATGCTCGACAATAATCAAAGCTGGAAAATAAATGTGTTTTTAGCCATAGGATGAGGTGATGACCTAAACAATTAACCCAAGTAATCGATATGATAGGTTCAAAACTTACGGGTTTTGTCTTTACTCAGCCTATTAGTATTCGCCACCATCCTGTGGCACGGACTCTGGAAGACCCTGCAGATACAATTTGCAAGAGCCCAGGTATAATTTTTATTCCAATCATTGCAGGGGGTGGGCTGACAAGGATTCGGTTTGATAATAAATGTAGCCTGAGCCACAACTACGATAGCCACTGCCACAGGAATAAAGTTAAGACTGAACATCTTGGTGGATCAGATGAAAGCAATATTGCCACTGAATGATCTTTGAGCGGGTGGGTGCTTTTTATAGGGCTCACTTTGTTTACCCAGATGCATTCCGAAGATAACTTTATTGATAATCAAGAAACCAATACGATAAACAAAATAATATTGAATTTATTTGCTTTGTCGTTGGAAAGTTTCGGTTTCTATATTTAGGTAGCCTTGAATAATTACGAATAGGTCAGATGGGTCGAGTACTCTTTAACCAGTTAAACAGGCTTTTGAACCCCCGAGAAAGGGCACATAAAATATTGCCGAAAAAACCACCAAAAAGCCCTTAAAATGTTGTGGCTCAAATACGTGTCCACCTTTTCAGTTGTATTGTTGGTAAATAATTACACGCTGTTGTCATTAGCTCATTAGGGAAGTTGGGAAGTCGGGAAGCCAGGCAGTCAGGCAGCGGAAAAAGCAGATAAAACAAAAGGCAACAACTCAATTAACCCTTTTCCACCAAACCCCAAATGGCAGGATTATGATGATGCTGCTACTTTTGCTGCTTAGTATATAATAATATAATAAAATAATAAACGAAAAGTGCCATCAGAGGGACGGCGAGGGGCAAATCCTGACGGATTTCATATGCAATTACTTCAATTAAACCATCTGTGACAATTGCCGCAGCCGAACATGAAATTCAACTTTACTTTCGAAATTCCCAATTGAGTTGAGGCGCATTATCCTCAGCAAGCAACCGCATTATATCTCTTTCCAGCTCTCCAGCACTCCTTTCCTCCGAAGTTATCCTGGCAACCGGCAACATCAACCCCTGGAGCGCCGCGCATTTTTACCTTTGACTTACCTTTGCCTTCGCCTTTGTGGCTCGGCTCCCAGCTTTTAATGGGGTGACATTTATGGCACTTTATCAACTCAAAAGTCAATAATGCTATCCAAGTATCTTAAATGTGGCTTAAATGCGAAGGAGGACGGAAAACGAAAATTGCAATGCAATAAAAATAAAATTTTAAAATGTATGCCGCTTATTCCGTCGATTCCGGGCCATCTGTAACAAAAGATTTCCAGGGGGGGTTGGCTAATGCTTTCAATCTCTGATTTAAAAACAAAAAAGAGGAAAAGTGGCTGGGATGTATTTCTTTGGAGAGGGCTTGATGGAAGTCCCCAAGTTTGTTATGACAACTGAGAGACATTTGAATCGAGTGCCGGGGGAGTGGGAAACTCTACCAGGGCATTAGTCGAATGGATCCCTCAGGATTAGCCAATGAGAGTGGCTTTGCCCCGCAGCCTCCCAAGGAGCATGCCCCCTCGAAATCCGGCGAACGTTGACAGCTCGTGGCCTAGGGAATTTCCGCGCCGAGATGAAAACTTCTGCGTAATTAGGAGTATAATTTGCGAGCCAAGTTAGCTTTTTGCCGCTGACAACTTGATTACGTTTCAACAACATTGTAAAAGTTAATTGCCAGCGCAGCCTTAAAGCCTGATGAGCATTTATCACCCTCCTCCTACCAGAAAAATAACCTGACACACTCCTCGCGTGTTATGCAAAAACAAACTCCAGACACGAAAAAAGTGAGGCATTCATTAGGCCCGACACGGTGGTGCGGTGGCTCTTGGCCCGATGGTGGTGGAGCGTCTTGTTACCACATTTTTCAATTATAGCACATTTCCTGCCCTCGGTGCTCACGTATGCCGAAGGGGAAGTCCCCCTGATGAAGAGTTATTGCATTTTAATTTGCCAGCCGCTGCGAAATGTTCCAAAAACCCACAAGCCTCTTTGTAATTCTTATATAATTCTTGTACCTATGCAGGTGGTTCAGCAATCTCTCATCCGCATTTCTTATCGCCTCAATGCGAGAAAATACAAAGCGATGAATTCCTGCTTTAATGAAGTCGAAGAAGTTCAGAGGTCAAAGCCGATGCAGCTAATTAGTTGCCGCTTCATTAAAATAAGTGTCTGCCTAAAAAAAAAAAAATAACTAAGAGCACTTTTACAAAAAACATATTTAAGTTGTAGGGCATTGCAAGACGTATACCGTATATAATTTTTTAAATATTAAATGCTGTATAAATAACTGGTAACAATATTATTTATCTAGTCTGTTGCCATTATTTTTTCGGTATATTACTGAGAAAATATTATCATTTAATTATTCCATAAATAGCCACAGAATTGTTTACGGTGCATAAACCCAGCCGGAAAGGTCATTTAGTGCGGGCAACAAAAATTTATTGTTAAAAGCCGCTAATGAATTATTTACTACCCATTTGGCCGTCATCTAGGCCAAGTCCTGACAGGCTCGGGGTAAAAATTGGGGCTTCAGCCGTCCACGCATAACTCAACCAGTTCACACCCTTAATTAACTGCTCATCTGCGTGTGTGCGTGTTGGCCAGGTTCCGTTTATTTGTTTGTTGGCCGAATATTGCGTGTGACTTCTGCGGCGGAAGGAACTGCTTAAAAGAGGTTTTGTTTATAAAGCATTTAACTGAGGAAAATGTTATGGAAATATCCAGAGAGCATAGTACGAAGTATCTGCACACTTCAATTATCCTCCCACCACAAATCACTTTCAAGTTGAACGATTGTCTTCCACCGCAACCATCAATCAAGTGCATATGAATTACATTTTTAATCACTCCGAATTACGCAGGAGAGCGCACATGATGAATTGCATATTACGGCATGGATCCGGGATCTGGGATATGGAATATCAACCACATTCACAGCGATATGCCATACATGTGAGTGTGCCTGGGGTGTGGGAGTACAAACGCATTCACTTGACAATCACTTTTGTTTTATTGCGATTTGCCAGGCCAGACACCAGCAAACAACGGCAGACAAACTGAAAAATTTCCACTTGGGATAACTTGTGAGCAATTGCAATTGCTGCTGGAGCTATTCCGGGCTATATAGCCCTGGCTATAGCCCCGGCTGAGAGCTCGAAGACAATGAGCTGTGCCAACCAAATTGTTGTGGTGCAAAAATGCGGGCATATGTGTCTGGCAGAGGCAATCGACGCCAGAAAGGAGCAACTGCAGCAGCCGGTGTCGTAGCCGGAGCCGAAGCAATAGCAGCAACAACAGAGCGATTTACCAAGAAAATGAAAATTTATTGTCAGTAAATGAAAGAAAGCTCTGCCTCAGTTGGTTTTTGTTGGTTTTTTTGCTTTTTTTTGGTTTTGTTCTTTTGATTTTTCTCCACAGGAGTTCAGACCAGATTGTGGTGTTAGTTAGGAATCAAGGTGATTCTTTGTTGGCCAAAGGTAACTATTCGCATTGCGTCTTTTCTGCTCCACAGCTAAGGGAAGGATTCAACAATTGCACCGTCTATCGCCAGCCGTCATTGTTCTTTTGAACCCAAAGGATGTACGCTTGCCTTTCTGTTCTTAAAGGAATAGTTTCCAGAAAAAAAGTAGTTCTAGTAGTAAAAACTAAATTTTATCGTTAGTTAGTTGAAAATAAGTTTCTACAATCGATAAAGAATATATTATGATTTAAATAAATATTTATATGAAATGCGTTGTAACAAGAACCCCTAAAAAACCCTTAATCGATCTGACTAAAACTTTTCCAATTATTTCCCACACCCACTCTGATTCAGCATATTGAGCATGGCATACACCCAGCTGGATTGGCTAATGGCGATGTTAGCCAGAAATGATAATGGCCAAAACATTTAATGCACGTTATTGCCAAACCAAAAAGGCAATTTGACGCAACGCGCTCCAAGGATTTGGCCAAGCCCTTGGAACCAGGCTAATGCAGTGAAATATTTATTGAAATTGTGTGTTCCCGGGGGGCCAATGTGGCATCGCCAGCTATTAGGCTGGGCTTTGGATTGGGAGCGAGGGGGCAAGGCGGTGGGAAATGGTCTCTATCCCAGGACTTTGGGGGCGGAATGGTGGCTTATCCTGGCGGAGGGTTGAGACTTGAGGGCGGAGCTATTTACGAGTCTCTGCTTGGCACTTTCGGCATTATTGCCCGGCCAAATGTTTTCGCCTCGATGCATAAA